GCATACAATTGGCTACACATGTAACTTTTCTATATTACCTATTTAAGGAGTCCGCCCGAAGGTTCCCCACCAATTGCAATATTTGTAATTATACCTCAATCAGGTATGTATCTACAAACTTCGAAAATCAAGAAAATCAATCGACAATTCCGAATCCATGGTCCGTCAAATAGTCCGTGCCACTAGTCAATCTATCAGACCATCCCTGCTCGAACATATTTTATAAGCTGACTCTTGCTGTTGCTGGATAAACGCGTTTTTAGTCAACTTTGAATAGTTGTTTTGCTTTAATACAACACTACACGCTCTCCTAAAAATTTTTGCGGCATGGCTGACCAAGATTTTAAAAGCAAGCTTCAGTTTGAAGACCCAGCCGAAGCAGAAGAGTTATATCTTGACAAGCGAAAGATCGTGACCATTGCAAATATTACTAGTACTTCCGGAGATCGGAAAGACTTTACTTCTCTCAACGAACTGATCAACCTAAAATTACTTTCCTTAAATTGTACCCAACTTCATTCTCTAGATGGCTTTCCACCGTTGCAAAAGCTTAAGAGGGTGCTTGTGCAATACTTTTTTAAAAAACTGCCAATCTGCTAACACGAAATTCTAATACCTTTTTTTTCGTTACAGCTCGCTCTATCTGATAATAAGATAGTCGGTGGTCTAGAAACGTTGGCAAATGCCAAGCTTGAAAATTTGAACCACCTTGATCTGAGCAACAATAGAATAGCCGAAATATCAGCACTTAAACCTCTGGTAAAAAAAAACAATTTTTCGTGTGGTTATTAAGTTTCGTAAAACGGTTCACAAAAATCAAAATTATTGGTTTATAATCGATCTGAACCCAATTCGATTTTGATGCTCTATCTGTTCTTATATGCGTAATTTTGAAGAGTGCTCTGCCAAATCTTAAACATCTAACCTTGGTTGAATGTCCTGTCACACAAATTCCCAACTATCGGGAAGCAGTATTCGAGGTCATACCACAATTGTATTCTCTTGACGGCGAAGATCGGTAAGTGTTAATTTATATCAGGATTCATGCACAACAAACCAGAAACTAATACTGTTAATTAGAACGGGCAAAACGATAGACTCGGAGGAGGAAAGCGATGCAGAAGAAGATGAAGACGAGGATGAAGACGCTGACATCATGCGATTGAATGGGCGTGCAGGTTCTATTTTGCTGCTAACGTTTTAGGTAGTAATTGATACTTAGTACATCGATTAATTATTAGAATTCACCTATTTAGAAGATTCAGAGGAAGAAGAAAATCAAGAAGTTGAAGTCAGCGAGGAGGAAGTCGGATCTGGTTCCGAAACAAATGAAGAAGCTGGTGACGACTCAAATGGAGAACAAGAAACCAATGCTGTAAGTTTAGTTCCATTTAAATGTCAGACAGTTTTATTTTATGTTTTAAATAACCATTTCTTAATATTTTAAAGAATGAAGAAATATCTGATAGCGAAGAAGAACAACAACTGGTTGACAACTTTGATTTTTATACGATACTTATAATTTTCAAATGCTGAATTTTTATTATCCATTAATTTTTAGGAAACAAGTGAAGTCGAAGAAGAACCTGAAGTTGAAAAAGTATTTTCAAAAGATAAGGGGAAATCTGTAGCATTTCGTGAAGAGGAGGAAGATAACGAGGATAACTCCGATAGCCAGCAAGAAGAAGCAGACTCCGAAGGAGAAATTTTATCAATACTTGCTCATGTAAGTAAAACTGTCTAATCTATAATTCTAGACAATTTCTAATAAGACAAATCCCATGTAAATTTATAGGATCTTCCCGAAGACACCGAAGAGGAAGATTATCATCCATCTAACGAACAGGAAGATGAAGAATTTGATGAAGACGAAATTGAAGACGATGACATATCAGAAGCTGATGAGGAAATAGACCCATCTCAGCGTCCTTCTACTAGTGCAGTTGGCTCATCATCATCAGCATCAACCTCAAGACGGAAAGATTATGAAGAGGAAGATGATCTAGATGACGAAGCTGAGGACGCATCGGAATCAAATCAAACCTACAAAAGAGGAGTAGCTGAGGAAGATGATAAATCGATACAAAATAAGAAACGACGAGTTTAATTTGTATTTTTCCCTTAATAAGGAATTTTTCATGCCCGTTTTTTTTTTTGTTGCGTTGTTATCAGATCTAGTATTAATTATTTTGATTCAAAACGTGACTAGACGATTTTGTTTGACATGAAACATCATTGTTATTCTCATTTGCATATCTAATATATTTGTCTGTCGTAGCAAAATTTGTGAACCTTTTTATTCGGTAAACGAAGGTGTTTGCTTAACTTTCACGTGATTAAAGACTCATTAGTAACGCGACGCGCGTCTTGTATCGGTACATAACAACATACATATACATATATAACTGAACAAAAGCCAAAAATCATCTAATAAGCATGTGATTGTTGCGGGCACGTGATATATATAAACCAATATAATGACACATTCATGTTTTTTACTTCTCCTTCCTTTGTTTTTTTGAACAGATTTTTTTTAAGTAGATAATATAAATTTAGCAAAAACAATGTCTGACGATGAGTACGGCTATGATAATGATGACATCGGGGGGTTGGTTTTTCGTGTAGCTTATACCTGTTATTTCTTTATATCAGTTCTCTACCAGTTAATTGATTCCCCGACTCGAAATATCTGTCAACAGACATGATTCTGATTTAGTAAGTACTTTTACGAAGCGCTTATGATCAATATAACAATGTTGGCACTTTTGTATGCTTAGTTATTTTGTTTGGAATTGGACATAAAATTTTAAATGGCATAATTTGCGCCAACACTAAGTATATCTTGGATTCATAACCTTTTTACATAAGGACGAATATCAAGAGCAAGATCTCGCCGAAGACGAACTTGAGCCGGATCTTCCAAGCGGGTATGGTGCTGAAGAACCAAGAGATGTGAATATAGACATACAAGGTGGTGTCGGGATCATCTCGAATGGTGTGGGTGGTGTTGGTATGGATATTGATAAGGCAGAAAAAGTTGTTCAAGAAAAAGAGAGAGTCACAACCCCATATATGACAAAATACGAAAAGGCTAGAATCTTAGGTACTAGAGCTTTACAGATCAGGTAGGCTTCTTTTTTTATTCATGAATTTTTGAATTTACCGTATGTAAGATATTAATTGAAAATTTCTTATAGTATGAATGCACCAATCCTTGTTGATCGTGATAATGAAACCGATCCTCTCGAAATTGCAAAGAAGGAACTTCGACAAAAGAAGATTCCCTTAATGGTACGAAGATTCCTTCCTGACGGGAGCTATGAGGATTGGCATGTTAGGGAGTTGATCATACCTGATGATGAGGCCTCGGCTAGAGATGCAAGTAGTTGGCGTAATACCAGTTTCTTAACATAGTCAATTTTCTGTAATTATACCTTATAAGTCATAGATAATTTTGCTTTATTTTTTAATACTATAATAAACTTATATTGCGGCGATATTTTGGAAAAATGTGAAATTTCATAGCAAAAATCAGCGGATAAGTCATAATACTTCGTATAATGGTTGAATGCTGAAAGTTTCTGACAATATGTAAAAATAATAGGACAGGTTTAACCCCATGCTGATAATTAGTAAAATCCGCCACGTAGATCGAGTTAGGGTGAAATCCGCGTTTAACCATGTTTTTTATGATGTAAAAATAAGTTCACCCTCATGTGTTTTACGTAGCGGATTTACTAGTTCACAGGGCGAGTCGTAAAATAATAATAACTCGCGATCTACTGAATCTACTTTAACAATTATACTATTATTAGAATCGGAATAACTTATAGATGCAATTCAATGCATCTGGTTAAGCCCGATTTATAAGTAGTCGGATTCAATCCGCAAAAATACTAAGGCGGTATTCGCAATTTACGTTAAATGCTATATTATGTAAATAAGGTCAAAGAGAGTATTTTTAGTTATTTATCTTTAAATTTTATGTACTTTTGATTAGAGGTGTTTTTTTTGGTTTGGATATTAAATATTAAAGAGTTTGTTTAGAAGAAAATTTTGATTCTAATACAATTATTTGTTCTTTGATATTTTATATGTTTTAGATTTTATTAATAACAATTTACTTATACATATTTACAATTCTTTTTAACATCAATTTTTTTTGATAACCTTTTAATCAATAATATCCAAAAATTGAATTAGAAAAAAATATTATAGTAAGATAAGAAAATATTACTTCTTATCTTATATAAAACAGGTTGTTTATAAATAAAATTAAAGATATAAATATTAAAAAATAGGTGTAAGAATGATGATCCTAGTGTAGTAGGCAGGTTGTTATCCTTCAAGTAGCAGGTTTAGTATTCAAATTTCACCTATGATAAAATTTGAAAATTATATTTGTGTAATAATAAACTGTCTCTTGATGATTGGTTAGATTAGTATATTTGTAATTTTCAGTTGCATTATTTCAAATAGAAATTTGGAACATCTATAAAAAATGTAATATTATATATATATATAAAAATATTATAATCAATGTTACATAAAATTTTATGCAAACAGGGGATGTGGTGACCTAGTGAAGTGGATAAGTTGTCAACTCCCAAGTGGCAGGTCTAGAGTTCAAATCCCAGTGACGGTGAAAATTTGCAATTCTTTCTGTGTTACAGCTAACTGTC